GTCGCGAATCGGTTACGGGCAAAAGTAAGGAGATTTCGGAAAGAGTGGCACGCTCTCTCGTGCCTGGCGCCCAACTTAGTAATAAGAATTACAATTTTGACCGAAAAATCGCCTGGTTGTCGCAAAATTCAGTTACCGAGGGAGAGAAGATACTTTTGCGTACTTTTGAGTACGAAGAACACGCGACGAAGTTGTGCCGTTGCTCGCGAGTACGATTACAACACATACGTTTATACATACGTTTATACGTACATACGTTTATACATACGTTTGTACATACGTTCATACATACATTTATACATACATATGTTTATACATACGTTCATACATGTATTACAAAGGAAGGGAAAGGAAAAGAAATCTAAAACGTATTTAAAAAAAAATCTCATATTTTATTCTTTAAACTTGATACATTTTTTTTGGCGTTGTGACCACCAGTTATGTATTTTAAATACATTTTGTAACGCACAATTCTTAATATGTTTTCCACATCGCATAGTATTGGTAACATCTAGATTATGTAAAGAATCTATATCTTTGTAATCAGCATCCAAGGTCTCAATGGTCAAGTTGTCGCTATCGAGTACATCAGCCAACCATTCGCGTTTTTCACGTCCTTTAACGTATACGAGAGCCTTATTGTCGTCATTCTCTTCCACACCAATTACAGCCATTGTAATCAGGAGTTTGACCATGGTGTATGGAATCATCCCGTCTTTCCGATTGCAATCCATGGTGATAAGCACTCAGCCAGGAAGCGCAATACTTTTCTGATTTTGTCAAGAAACTCCATGGCATAGGACACGTAAAAATGTAATGAGAGAGAATGGCTCCTTTTCTCAACATCGCAACTTCCTTCACGATAAGTTTCTTTGCAACGGTAAATCCTTGCAGATCCACAAACGTTGGTACTGTCATGGCGAACGATTTTTCGAGACTGCGATTGATTTCGATGAATCTTATATTTTATAGCGTGTCGTAGAATGCACTTAGGTGATTTTACGCACGACGTTGGTCAACGGATTGTACTAATCCACGCGATCGTGTATGATGAGACAATAGGCAGTAGTATTTGCAGGTACATTCTCCTTGCAGTCAAATTCTATGCGCACGTCCACAGTGGCACCCTTGACAGATTCGTTCTGTCGCGAACAATCAATGACTACAAAAAGTCCTTCCTCGGTAAATGACGACGTGTATCGTTAGATCCGTAATGCTACGTGCGGTGATCGGCAAGTAAATGATCTGCGCGGACCTTTCCGATATCTTATATCCCGGTGACACGCTCGGCGAAAATTCATATATTTTGTGTACACCTTTGCCATTGCTGTACGCACCCGCGGTCACGTTACACTCTACGCGGATAACGTTTACGTTCATTATGTTGATCGACACGTCCGATTCGTGCCATTTTCGCGGTCGCAGTATACACTTCGACGAGAATCCCAGCAGCGATCCAACGCTGTTGAGCTTGCCAAAGTTTATTTTGAAGGCGCATCTAATCTCGCATCTCATCGTATTGTAGTTTGTACGGATTGTTATTGGATATTCCGCACCCTCGCCCTCGTCGTCATCATTGTTGTTATAGTTGCTATTGTTACTATTGCCACCACGCAAAAGCACTATGTCAACGATTTCAAGCGCGTCGCGGGTTGAACGTAAAATTGCACGTTTCAAAAATTCATTTATGTCTCGTACTTCGTACGAACCTTCGGAAATTGTAATTTCTGCGTCGTCTTTGTCGAAATAAAATTTATTGTTTGATTCGTTTACGTTCGGTATCGTGTGATAAGTCTCAAAAATCATCAGACCGAGCTCGTAATCACAGTCACTCAATCTATGGCGGGGAAGTAGTTCGCCGCGAGGAGGCTGCTCTTCCCGCTCAGTGTAAGTGCCAACGACATGACGGGAAAAGCGTTCGACCAATACTGAGATTTCACGGCACCTCGTCGAGCTTTCTAAATTCACGAGCGTCGACCGTTCGTAGAAACCACAGGCACATCTGTCCGCAGAAGCTCTGATCATACGTCTGATAGGACGTGCGATTGTACTCTATCGTCGTAGCACCGTTCCCGAAATATCGCACCAGTTCCTTGGGCGGTCGAAGATTACCAAAGCTGTCGAAGTACACGACGCGGTTGTTTCTCTTCGCGTACGCTACCCAGTGAGTACCAGGTCCCGTCGCATCATCCAGATTCACGATACCGCTTTCGTTTAGACGCACGCCGCTCGTCGGTAACGCGTTACGCATGAAAACACCTCTAAAATGCGGTACACGCATACGTCTCGCGAGCACATCCAATTGCACGTTGGTAGCTGCACCCGAGGGCATTTTTATCGTCTCTTTGGCGTTTTTTTTTCGTCACTGCTACGCCCTGTCCGCGTCCATATTTGTGCGGAGCGAGATACAATCCGCGAACCTGTTCCATCTCGCTATCGTGACGTTGCAGCTCCTCGAGCTAACGTCGCGCGGCTTTGCTATCGTTTACCGCTTTCGCCACACTGGCCGCTCCTCCAATCAAGGATCCGAGCGCCCCCAACATTGGCAGAAACGGTAACGCACCGCCTCGTTTCGCTGTCGGTAGTATCCGTTTTTTCGCTATCTTTTTCGTTGTGTTTTTCCTCATCGTCTTCTTCGGTTTCATGCCCATGCCGATCTTGGTTTTGGTTTTCATCGCTGCCCATACGGCAGCAGCGGAAGCTCTCTCGCTCAGAGCCGAATTCCTCGCGATGACGAGTTCTAGCACTTTATCGGCGAGTACTTTGTCCGCCGCGTGTCCATCGGTGAGATCGTTACTCCGAGAATACGCAATGTCGTGTTCTCGGCACGCCGCGTCCAGCGGATTTATACCCGTATCACCTCTGGCTAATCGCTTCGTCAGCCGAGTACCCGGACCGCACAACTGGTAGCCCGGGATATGTAACTCGAAAGGAAGCGCGTTTATCGCTCGATTCAACAGACTGCCGCCCGACGCTAACATTCGCTAAAGTCCTTTATCTTCGGTGCCGGACCGTCGATGTGCGTTCGCTGCCACGGTTGATTGTAATGGTCGTCGCAGCAACGATATGTTCGAACCTGTGAATCCACCTTTAAGTGTCCCGGAAGCTTGTTCCATACGTAGTCGATGTAGTACACTCGTAACAGTACGACCTTCGATATATACCGCAACTGCTCAGCGCTCAAATCCAGAATGTCGGAAGGATGATGAAGCGCGAGATATATTTTATTACTGCGCGGATTCGCGCGCCTTTAAATAGGCGGTCGAGAGCGCACAGCCCGTAGTACGAGCATGAAATTCGTATTGCAACCGTTGACGATACGCGTCACGAACTGCGACGCAATATCGCGAATAATCGGAAGCGGCGTGGAGAAGCCCAAGCACGGCGAAATGCTGCCGAATACTATACGCGCGATCATTTGCGGCCCGTCGAATTGCGTTAAAACCAACGTTCTCATAAGCTTACTTGAGAGTCCGAACAGCGTACGTAGAGAACGTGTACGTTTACATCTATCGACGAAATCAGCTACTTTACGTTCTCCAACAACAGCGACGTCGTTCCACCGAGCGAGGCGCGTCCAAATCC